AAATGTACAGGGGATACAATTTTTTTGGCCGGTCTCTTAAAAGGTCACTTTACAGCTATACAAACAAGACGAGCAAATTGAAATTGCATCATATGTCCTTTAAAAGAAGTTTCACCATTTTCTGAATTTGTTTATTATATATTATTTATGCAGGGAAAAAAAGGGGGGAAAAAAGATGACACGTAAACAAATCAAACACCCTGTTGTAAAACCAAAGACTTTTTTGTTTAAACTTCTGATACGTCTTCAACCATGTTCTAATCATGCAATAAATACATGCTTGTTTAATTGTATTTTAAAATTTTAAGAATGTAATTGTGTATCCAGTTTTAAAATTGGTCATCTTGATTTTTTTTTCCTATACTTGTTTTGATCTCCTGGGACCTAAGTGTTAATGTTCATTACTGTGATGTTGTCTATGTTTTTGTGACAGTTTGGAATATGAAAATATAAAATATATTTAAGAAATCTCTAAATTAACAGTTTGGCAATGCTGTTTCTCCAAGAGATGCAGTGGGGGCTAGAAGAAAAAAAGGTAGTCTTGAAAAAACCAATGACTCCTATGTATCTTCCGTGTTTCAGATGCCTAGACTGTCACAATCATATATATATATGTGAACAAGGAATCCTTGCACGGAAGATTTCTGCAAAGACAGTTTTTGTTAGCTAGGTGATTTTGCAGATGAAAAGTTCTGTAATGAACATAATCGTAATTGTAGTATTATCTGGTAGATTTTGTGGACACAGAGCTCTGTGAATTTGAGTCAGCCATAGTTTACAGATCTCTGCACTATATTCTCCTTACAACTTCAGACATCAAGTGAAGATGCAGAAGGAAAGAGGATTCTGGGTTTGGCAGGCAGGGAACAGGACCCTGATGGGCTTCAGCCAAACGCAAATATAATTCCAGGGAACCACATATTTTAAGCATGGTGAAATCATGAACGATCACAGATCATCATCCAATTCCTTTCATTAATACAATTAGATCAGTCTCTGTTACCTATTCCTTAGGCTACTGAGCAGTTTTTCAGAACTCTATTAATCTCATGTTCAAAACATTCATTCATTTCCAGTCTAAAGGCACAGATATTTCTGAATTAGATTTTAAAAGTGTATCACCTTTTAAACTAAAGGGATCTTTAAGCATCTGGAACACTGGTTTGCTCTTTAGTGGTACGTTTTTCTCAATTCAGCTGTTTTCAAAGTCTACCTGTATGTAGAATTAAAAAGGGGGAAATACAAAAATTAATCTCAATATTTAATTTAAATTAAGAAAATTCTTAATCTGTTCTACTGTAGTATGAAGGACTGCTAGCCAACAGTCTAGATGAGAGATATCAGGGAAGCCCTGTAGCAATATATTAAACATTATCATCATCTTCCAACCAATATAAGTGCAAAGGGAAAATGATAAAAATCAACTAGATTTTTAAAAAATAAAATAACAGTATTATCTTCTTATTTAACAAATTTAAATTCATCTTTCAGTTAATGTATCGTTAGCAAGGTTTTCCTTAACACCCAATTATTCTTAATTTAGTTGTAAACTGAATGCTATTCTATAAAATAAAAATATGTTGCAAAAAAACCCCCACAACTCTTTTATTTTGTTAGCTTTGATTAGAGAATATTTTTTCCTTAGATGAGAAAAGGGATAAAGAAAGATGAAATGTGCATGTGTCTGAGCAGAAGCGTAACTAGAAAGAATTAAGTTTGTGGTTTTACCGCTTTGTATTTAGTATTGCTACAGAATGCTTGTGCTGTTAATACTTCACTTGAAAAGTAGGTTAAAAGTCATGTGTTTGAAATGATTATCTACTTAGTCTACTGACTCCTAATAATGTGCCTGTGTGCCTGTCAGAACGTTTAGCCGTGGAAGAAATACGGCTAGTCACATTACATTTTTCCGTAAATCTTTTATGAAGTAAGAGAGTGTTTTTATAGTGTAAATGATTTATCGATTCAATACTGTGCTGCTTTTGTGCCCTTACAGTTTTAAATTAAATCTAATTAAGAATTAATTCAAGACGTGATCTGAAGTTGAGTGGATTTTATGAAAATGGCCTTTAATAGAAACCTCCTCCCTGTCTATGCACCCTGAGTTTTCATTATCTTAGTACTATGTGAATCTAGAGAAGCTCTATTTTCCCTTGCCTTTAGAAATGTGGAATATGTTTTAATTTCATTTTTCCAAATGTCGTCAGGTCCACAGTTTGTCAGATAGCCAGTATGTGTTGCTTTTATGCCTAGAATTCGTAACTGCTCTTTAAAACAGTTGATAGAATAAATTTTTGTTGATTATATGTTTAGTGGTGTATGACCACTAAACTATAATTTAAAAATTCTTCTTGCATTTTTTGGGGGCAGGGGGAGGGAACTGTGATTAATGTAGAAGCTTTCCCTGTCAACATGATAATGGATGGAAATAAATGAACATGTGGGGGACCTGTGACTGCTGAGTTATAGTCTTCCTCTATTAATTCATGAATCACAATTTTAACCTAGAAATGAGATGCAAACTAGACCAACATGTACATTGCATATGTATTGGTTGCCACTTAGGTAAGAATTAATGTACAAAGCCAAGTATATGACTGTATGTGTGTATATATTGCTATGCTAATTGTTTTTACTTTGATATGAAAATATTATATGTATCTCTTAACTAAACCAGCTTGGTTAATATAAGCGTAAGTACTCTCTTTGTAAACTATTTTTACTTGAATACTGAATTGGTTTTTAGAAAGGAGATTGTCCTCGGGTCAGGGGGTTCCTGAGCTGCAGATTGCTGGAGACAGGAGAAGAATGCACTGGAGGAATGGCCTCACTAAGCTTGCCCTCTGTTCAGGGGGGCCGTGGGCACCAAGACTGCGTACTAAGCTACAGATGAACTTTTGTCTAACTCGGTTTAGCAATGCTTATACCTTCTTTCTTTTTTTTTTAATCTTGCTTAGACAAGGGATGGCATAGTGTAAGTGAATACCACTTAACTTTTATGTCCTGAAGAATGACAATGGTAGTTTTACAGGAACCCATATAAAAAATTACATGCCTTTTTTGTCTATATAGTAATGAAAATAGAACACCAAGGTGCATGTGCACACACACGTTCCTATGTATCTTATTCTTTAGGCGTGCATGTGTGACAAGTGCTTTAGCACAGGTTGACACAGAACTTGAGTATGGTTGAGCAGCTTCCAAGAGACACATGCCCATGTTCAGGTCAGAAGCCTGAAAGGCCAGGTGTGACTTTATGGGTGGAAGGGCAATGGGCAAAGGCTCTAATGTAGATACCTTCACCTGCGGGTCAGCTTAGGAAGTAGCACTCCATAACCCTACAGCTGTCAGTGCAGCTTCTAGCTGGTACGCAACTACTGGACCTTTTCAGAGTGACCTTTTCAATTTGGTGCTAGAACTGAGTAGAGCATTTATATAATAAAACACAGGTCTTGGTGTGGAGGCAAAAACGATGGAGTGGTTCACAGATGATGACTGCTGCCTGGCAGCTAATGTCTTCAGCTGCCACCATTTGGCTCCGATCAAGGCACGCAGGACTGTGCAGACAGGACTGTTATTACGTATTAGGTTTGTTAAAACAATTGCTTTTGAAGGAACCTGTTTAGTTTCCTACTAGAACAACAATATGCTCTAGGGCAGTGGTCTCCAAACTTTCTTCATCGTACACCCCTATCAATAAAATTCCCATATGAAGCTTGTTGTAAATAAACATTTTCATAATTAACAGCAGTTAAGTCAGCTTTTTAAGTACTTCTAATATAATTGTTTTAACTGTTTTTATTTGGATACATGTGCTTGCTTAAAGAAACCATACATTCTGAATTGAGATTGTGAAATAAAGCTCATGAATTTGCAGCATTCCTGGCATTTAAGAGCATTTCTATCCAATTTCTTCCATCTAATAGAAAAAGTGATGTTAGATTTTTTTTTCAATAAACTGAAATGATGACTAATGACATGACAGAAACAGAAAGCAGATATTTCATATTGTCATATGGAAAGGGGAAGTAATTTTTCTCGTATTCCTAATTAAGATAATATAGTGATTTTTGCTTAGAAGAATGCTTGGTCAAAGGAACAAATATTTAGAAATTTGGTGGGTGGTGTGGGGGTGGAGAGAATTACATGCAAAAATTGGAAAGCGTCAACTTTGTCATGTGAAAACTTAATCAGATAATGAATTTGTCAAAGAATGTGTGGAATTTTAGAAATGAAAGTATTTAGTGATGTCTTTAGTTTTGGCCATGAGTAATAATAAAGTATTTGTGATTGAATAGTAAGTGCGGGCGAGGAGGTTTTAGCAACTTGCACAATATTGTGAACAACTGCACGTTTATCTCAAGTTTATCTTTATTGTACCTTCCTTTTTTTTTTTTAAATCAGAAACTTAGTGGTTCATAAGTTTGAGGGATTTTTTGAAAAATCTGAACTAGTTTTCTTGTGAAGAAATTCCTTTAGATTCCAAATTTACTGGTTGGGCTGAAGATGACTTTGTAGATGATTTTAGCTGTAACATTGAAGAAATTGAATTATGTCAATATGAATAGAACAACCAAACATTCTTTTGTGAAAAATTTTTTTTTTTCTGTATTTGAGTATGGCTGATTGTAAATCAGCTAACACTTTGATGTGAAAGGATCCCATTCTGTAACCCATTTCATTATCTAAAATGTGAAACAGGAAGCATTTAATGTGAAACATTGTCCTATTAAACTGCTGTCTCACAGAACTTTATTTTAGGTACATTGGTACATGACTTCCCAACTGAGTTTTAACAAGTTGAACTACATCTAGAAGCTTTTAGGTAGTTCAGGCAACCATTGGAATGTGCTCCTGTTATTTGACTTCATTACCAGTTTCAATTAATGCAGTCATTTTCTTTTTTGAAGTTCTGAGAAATGTTACTTTTTGTAAGAATTGCTAACATTTTAGTTTGAGGTTTCCTTCTGCTTATTGATTGAAGTGTTTCTGTTTTCAAGGGAACAAAAGAAATTGAAGGTGAAGAGGAGTCTGGTTTAATTCCGCCTGCAGAAGTATTTGCTCCTAAAAGTCTGGTGTTGGTGTCCAGACTAGATTATCCAGAAATTTTCAGGGTAAAGAACTTGCAATTGCCTTTTATAATATATGTCAGCAGACAAATCTGGTTTTAATGAGTAGCAGTGACAGCACTTTTGATTTAAAACATCTCAGAATTGATTTGGGAATTTAAAAGCAAAAGTAGGCTTAGATTGAACTAAATAAAATTCAATGTCTATGACAGTAAATAGCCCCTATAGGTTGAAGCAGAGTGCTTTTACCCTCCAAGCAGTTTTAAATCTACATAGGAGATGAAATAGAGATTTTTCTGGGCTCAATTTACTGTATAATGAAAGGAATTATTAGGACAAACCTAGATGTGCTCAGGTAAAAACAACACATTAACAATATCTGATTAAATATATAATGGTAAATTAATAGTGAAATCCTAGTTTTCCTCCATATGTAAGGCAAAATGTCAGAGCGTCTTCCAGATCAAATTAAGATTCATGACAGAGATTTAGGATCTTGGATTACTTTCAGCTGATGAAATATGGCTGATCTGAGATAAATGAAAAGCTTAAATTTGAATTAAGCTAATACATATTAAGAGAAACAAATATAGTTCAGTTTACAGATCAAGGGAGGAAATCATTCAGCAGTTAAGTTGTCATTAGACCTAAGGAATGACTGTACCGAGTAAGATTAAAAGTCCACGCAGCCCAGTATTTTGTCTCTGCTAGTGGCCTGTAGCGAATGCAAAGCAAAGTGTGTAAGAATAGGGCAGGCTGTAGAAAAAAATTCCAGAAAATATTTTCCTAATTCAGTGTGAATTATAGTTAAATGACATCCTGAACCAGAGGTGTCAGCTGTGTGGGTTTTTTCATATATTTTGTCCTGTTTCTCAATGCTCAGAATTTAGAACAACCCGTGGCAAGGAGTTTCACAGCTTAACTATGTGTTATATGAAAAGTTACTGTTGGAATTATTTCTAAGAAGAGAATTCCTAAAATATTTGCTGAATTATCGAAAGTACAGCAGTTAAAAGGCACCACAAGGATGCTGTGGAACGAAGTTATTTATTTACTTTTTTCCAAAGGCTTTTTACAACATGATGTTAAATCATCTTATGTTAAATTATTAACTCTATATGTGATTTCTCAATCAAAACTGGATCCATACAAAAAAATATGGAAATGCTGAAGTGTTAATACACTATTCATTTAAAAATATATTTATATTAAAATAATAAAATAATGTAAGTTAAATAACATAGAATTGTTGATCCTTGATGCTAGCCTTAAAAAGAGGCTCAAAAGCTCATTGATTTGTCAGTGTTCTACTCTGGAAACCAGTCATGTTGCATTCAAAGTGCAAATGGAGCCATGTTGACTTTACAATTTTTAAAAGTAACTTGTAGTAAAGCACTTTTTGTGTAATGAACAAAGCACAATATTAAACATTTAATTTCTTTTTAAAAGAGACTGTACCTACACCTGCCAGTGCATGCATCCCTTCTAAATAACCAAGCTAATTTTTTTAAGTGAATGATTGCTTCTATAGCAAATTACTTTGTCTTCAGTTGGGAAGTACTTTACAACATTAATAACTATTAAGACACACTTATTTTTAAAAAATTATATACATAGATCTTAAAGTAATTTGACATCTGCCTTCCCTGTATAGCAGTCTAATATATTTTATCTACCTTTCTAGGCTTGCCTTGGCCTGATCTATACTGTGTATGTGGACAGCCTGAACGTATCACTGGAGACTCTCATTGCAAATCTGTGTTCATGCCTTGTCCCTGCTTCTGGAGGGTCTCAGGTAAATGGGAAAAAAGGGTGTTTTTCCAGTTAATTTAATTTATGAAGAAAACAAAAAATAAATTCTTGAAATATTTTTGAAGAAAAAAAGATCATAGTTCAGCTGAGTGCTTTCCCTGCGGCCTGTGAGTGCTTTCCCTGTGGCCTGTCTTCTAAAGACAGCAAAAATTCCATTCCAGGATAAGGTCAAAGGGTTAATTTTGTCACTGAGTTGGCTTTTTAGAAGGCATAGTAACAAATCAAGCAGTTTGTATAAGTTTAGTTTTTAATAATTGTGTTCAGGAATATTTCTGCTTGCTACAGACTTTATTAAAGGCTTTTTTTCTTTGCCATTTTTTAACATGTCCTTCACTTTAGTTCACTTACCTGTGTCTTTTCCTTGATGTAGTTAGAGATTCCACTGGTCTTTTCTCTGGTAACTCAATTTTAAATTTCTATTTTCATAAAATTTAAAAAAAAAAAAAAAGCTAAAAAAGTAACTTGGACATGGTTTTCTCAGAGGTAATTAAATATTCCAGGTAGCCCATGTATTCAAAAATAAGAAAAAAGTTTTCCAGCAACTACACTTCTTTCTGCTTTTTACCTATGCTTTCTGTGAGCAGAAAGTTGGGTTGGTTTGTTGATTTACTTTAAATAAATTATTCCTATACAGTTGTGGGTTTCTGACAAGCCAGTTGGGTCTTACTTGCTTGGCTTTCACTTTCTGCTGTGACAGTACTGTGAAAATACAGTCCTTATTGTGAAATATACCTGGAAACAAAGTATGCAAATGGCAATATTTTGAAGTTGATTTCATACACGTTTTCTCACACTTCCCACCCACCCTACGGATTAACAACCTTCTTGAAATCCTACAAATCCCTAATTCTTTTCTGTTTTTCCCATAGCCCTGGCTGCTTTGGAATTTCTCTTAGTGCTGTAAGTGGCAAAATGTCCTCTCAGCTTAGTCAATCTCTACCTTACTGCTCTCCAGGCAACCATGTCTCTGTGTTTTTGAATCCCAAGCCTTTTGGTTTTGAAGGGGAGTAATTAGATTGTATCTCCCTATCAGAAACCCTTTTTTGCAGTGGTATGTAAACCTCATATTACAGGTTTTGGTGATCCACTTGAACTTCTGGCTCTTCTTCTATATATGCCTTCCCCCCCGCCCATCCATTAATACGGCTTTCTCCAGCGGCCATTTCCTCTGCTAGAAGACAGAGGAGGGTTCATGCTCCTCTGGCTATGCTCCCTTCTGCTTTTTCTCTTCAAATAAAATGTTCTTTCAGTTTGAACTTAAATTTCTAGTGACAAACTACCATTTTAATCAGAAATCAATTTCTTCTGTTTTCTTTCTTAAGCTTCATGCTTCCAGGGCTAAATCTGAATTATTTCTCTTAGAATGAGAACACTCTTCAGATGTTTATCTCCAGAACTCCTTGAGGAGCCTCCCAGGTTATTCATGTGTCAGGTGTTGAAGTAATTGGCTGTGAAATTAGTTATTGATCAGCACCCAGGTCTGCTGCTACCATGCTGGGGAAGGGCATCTCTGCTACAGCTCATTGCCTTGTTTGGTTTTACTGTGGAGCATTTTGGTTTCAAACATCTGCTGTACAGCAACTAGAGCTTGCTACCTTCATACATTCAACATCTTTGCTGTTGTACAGAGTGGAGTTGTACCACGCTCACTGCCTGTACAGAAACACCCCCCACCCCATGGTATTAGTGGTTGGAGGTAACTTCTTCAAATCACCTGCTGCTTGAATGTCATGTGGATTTACTCAGAGGAAAGCAGGATTGTTTTGCAGTTACAATGCTTTTTGGGTTGTGATATACCAGTGCATCTTTTCTCTCCCATTTCCTGCCTCCCTCAAGGGAGGTATGTTCTTGTGCTGGAAAGGTAACAAGTTTTAATTCTACTTCAATGTGCAGAGCAGCAACATAGGAGTAGCAGAAGTGTCCTCTTCAATACCCATATATCACATGCAGACAGTACATATCAAAGATGTATTTTTCTGATTTGAATAGGTTTTGAACTGTTTGGGGGTTTTTGTTTGTGGTTGTTGGGTTTTTTTCCTGGAAAGTTTTTTAATGTATTATTAAAAATATAATATTGAATGTCTTCAAAGCCATAAAAACTAATTCAATGGAAACGCAAGGAAGGCAGTATCATGCTACACATCCAAGGAGATATATCATTGCCCTCAAACTGTATTTCAGATCTGTGTTGATCACTCAGTTATTCTTACTGGCTTTAAATTTCTATATACACAATAAATATTTTTTGCAGGATGATCACTTATCTGTATGACAACAGCTTGTTTATTCTATATAAATTAAATTTATGCTCGATTACAAAAAAATTTCTTTCTACAGAAATTGTTTTCTTTGGGAGCTGGAGACCGACAACTGATACAGACTCCTCTACATGATAGCCTTCCTGTTACAGGCACCAGTGTGGCTCTTCTCTTTCAGCAACTAGGTATGTCTAGGTCTGCTTTGAAAAAAAATCTTTTTTTAAATTACAGAATGAGGTATTTTCTGTTTTCATTCAGTTCAAATCATGTGTCAAGAAAGCTACACGGTAAATACTAATTTGTTTTGAATGAAAGAATGACTAATAGCGTTTTTATCCCCTAATCAGACATTCATGTAACTTTTTTGTACATCCTGCCTGTGGTAAGTTGTCTCCGATATTATCTAGTATCTGTAAGTGTACTGTGAGCAGAAGTGAGGCAGGCCTCTGTTTAATTACAAAAACATGAAAGTAAAAAGATTGCCTACCCCTTGGGTACTCTACAAATGCCAAAGAAAACCAAGGAGGTTAATAATAAAACTAGTGTAACTGAGAAGGTTAGTAGAAAAGATACCATGTACTGATATTGGTAACTGTGTGCAATTCGTATTATCCTGTTGTTATCTGTTATTTCCTATCTTTCAAGAAGGTGATCTAACAAAATCCTCATCAAATGCTTACTTTCTTGTTACAATTATAATGTTGTGTCACTGTTACCTGGGTACCTTAACACTAATCTTGTGTGTGTCATTACATTTTAATACACTCTTAGTCTTCTTTCTGTTGGTTTGTGAAGTGACTTTGAGGCACAAACTTGTAGCAGCCGTGAATAAGGGTGCAATCAATAATCTTTTCTGAACCTGTGAACCTCATGTTTAGTCTCAAGTAATCAAATGGCCTCATAATATATGTGATCATCCATTCTTCTCATAAGTCCACAATAAGAATGGATGCAAACAGGGAAAAGAACAGTGAAGAGGAGTAAGAGCTTATGTCACAGGAAGTGGTATCAGATATGATGAGCACAATGTCATCTACTACTGATAAGATTTAATTGTATCTTTCAAAAAAAAAATTATTCCAAAAGGAATATTATTCTTTTGTTAATAGCAGTTTTAATTAAAAAATGCAGCTAAGATGGTATATATGCTACTTATTCTCACCACAATCCCTGAGGTTTCACTTGGTTTATTATATCAAGATTCATCAAGATTACTCTGATCAGATTGCAGGTAATGTTTTAAACATGGATAGGCCCAACAGCTTTTCCTCTTTTCTGAAGGTAAGTACGGTATGATATACCATGTAGTATGGTATGTTTGTTCTATAAGTACAGTACGTGATACCTAAGTTGAGGCAGTTTATTTTGGGCCAATTGTAATGAAGGTTGCTATAGATTTACAGTTCTGAAAATGTCAAAGCAAGGCTTTTAAGCTAGTGCTTATATAGGTTAACTGCCATGTCTTCTGCCACTTGGCTTTTGTATCGCAAACTGGGATTGTAGTGTTTTGTCACAGGATCAGTCTGAGGAAGACAACGAAGGCAAATAATCTGAAAAGTCATTGTATGCATCAGATTTATAGAAGGAAACTATGTAAAGACAGAGTGGGAATGTAAATATGAAAGAGGAAACTGAGCATGATTGCAGAATGAGCTTTTTAAATTCCATTCATTATGCATAAAACTGAATTATAAAGCTTCCATATGAGAATTTAAAATTACTTTCACACACATAGGATTTAAGTTAATATTATTAACTGTGTTTTATTGATGGGTAAACATATACAGATGGATGTCATGTAACTTCCTAAAGATACTATAGCAGAGCACTGAAAAGTTTGGAGTGTAACCAGGACTCCTAGATTGTTGTGCTAGCAATCAATGATCCTTTACCTTTATATTTTGAAATTGTGTAATTCCTCATTAGCTCATATACACTTTCCAGTATCTCTACCCCTGATTTACTCTTTGTCTACCATCTCATCTTTCTTTTCCCATTCTCCATTAGCCTTCTTGCTGTAAACAGTCTGGTTTCTATGGTTTTGCAGCTCTTCTGCCTTCTTTTCTTCTAGAGCTGCAGTAAATGTTTGGAGGTCCAGTTTTCTTGCTTTTTAGTGGCTTGTAGGAAGTACAAGAGTTAGTAAGCCCATGCTTACCAGGTGCCCTCTCCAGTTATGGTGCACAGAAGGATATGAAAATGAGCAGCAAGAGAGGGAGAGGAAAGGAGATAATGAAGGAAAACTTGCTCATTGTCACAATTCTGGTTAGTGACACTTGGACTGGCCTGAAAAAGAGAGAGATTGAAGAAAATATGTGATTATAACACTTGGTAAATCTTCACAAAGGGAAGCTATAGGGTTACATCCTGTTTCCCTGAAGAGATCATACAAGTTTGTAGAAAAACGAATTGTGTCAATACCTCTTCTTTTCTGTCGTGGCATAATTTTCTCTTTTACAAGACTATCAAAACTATTAGGAAGAGCTTGTCTAATGGTCTTGTGTAGGTCCTTTTCCTGTCTCTCTCCTGTTCTTTGGTGCGATGAGGACAGTAGTTGTTGCTTGGGAACAGGCCTGAAATTAGTTAAGGAATAGGCAAATAAGTTGGCAGGTAGATTGTTTGGATTTTGGTTTTTTGTTTGTTTTGTTTTGTTTTTAAACAGCTACTTGAACCCTTTGCAAAAGAGACTTACTTTTTCCACGTCCTATTTCTGACCACTGCTTATTTTTTCTTTCCTTTTTTTTTTTTCTTTTTGCAAATGTCCCTCGGTTCCCAGCTGATAGCCCTTTCAAAGTTTTTGTGTCTAAGTATTTGGGGATATAGCACAATGGTAGAATCACTGTGTATCTCTAAGGACATAAATTAAAAAATATTTGTGTTTTTATAATGCACATCACTTTACGGAATAGCACATGGTTTTTTTCACATGTAGGTGGTGGACTGTCATTGTCTTCTTAAGGCTGAGGTTTGTTAATGCTAAGTTTCTGTTTGAATTACTAAAAAAGAGTTGTTAATACAGCTACATATGTCTGTTTGCAGTGGTTGTTGAATATAAAAGAAGGACCTGGAAATATGAACAGACTGTTTTAAATAAATTCTCATTTATTCTCACTTTTCATGTAGTCTTGTAAAAAGTTAAAGGCAGTGAGTCCAGAAGGATATGGTAGAACCTATTAGCTCATCCCTTTGAAAAAGTTTATTTTTCTAAGATAAGGCCTAGTCCTTTCCTCTGGAGATCATAGTTGAGCTTGTTAGAAAGGGGTTTTTGTGCTTTCTGTAATGGTATTCACACTTGCTCTGTTTCTCTTGTTCCATTTGAACAGGACCTTAATGTGTGTTTGTCTCTACCAACCTGGGCAAAAGCATTCTGCTTCTGTTGTCAAGTGTGGTGTTTGATGGTTACTTTAATGAAAGCTGTTCTACCATCAAATGCTTGTGTTTAGGACACAAATATTGACTAGGCTGTTTGTCAAGTAACGACATGTTCAGTTATTTCTCTTCTGGTACAAGTCACTTAATCCTATTTAAATTATTAATAGAAAAAATGAAGAGTAGCTAGAAAAATATTTGTGAACTGTATAAATCACCTTTTTAAAAATAGCTCTTTCTTTGAAGATGGGCAGCAAGACAAAATTTACCACTATGAATAGATACAAAAGTAATTTCAACATTTATTTTGAGAAATATTGTGCAATAGTAGTCTCATCATGCTTTTTCTGCTTGGCAGGATAATACTGTGTCAGCGGATGACCCTCCCTGTATTACCAAGTTTGCAGCATATCTGGAAATAGTCCTTATTTTTACTTAGGCGTCAAACTACAGTTGGGAAAAACATCCCCAAAGGTTTAAAGTTTAATAATAAGGAACATGAGTGTTTGACATTTTAAATCATACATTCTTTTTTTTATTTAAAAAAAAATTAATATATGGGAATAATGTGACAAAAGCCAGGCCTGTAGTTGGATCACTACACCTAAAAATGATTTCATCAACAAGGATTAGCTGGAAAACCAGTAATAATAAAGTTACTTTTAAAAATGATCTGTGGTAGCTAGAAGACTTTCAATACTCTTCTGTTACTCATTGTCTGTTAGTAAGATGGTAGGTATCTGTAAAAGCTTCAAAACACAGTAGCCTTTTTCAGGCTCAAAGGAGATTTTGGTTATATTTCTCTTCTTTTGTCTCATTTTATTAACAATGCATTCCTATGTTTCTGCCTTAAGCTCTTGTAATTTCTTCAAACTCCAACCCTACTTGCCTTCTGCATTCTGCTGGCAGTATGATTATTCAGCACTGCCATATTCAGTCATTTATATCCAAGACATACACCTCCATCTCCCCAGCGGGCAGTTTTTTCTGAAGAACATAAGACACAGAATTATATTAGGGACCTGAGCAGCAAAACAAGAACCTAGGATTTAACCAGCCCCTTTAATTTTTGCATGTTTCAAGGACTGGTAGCTTGAATCCCACTACTAAGCTGAGCAGAACAATTATGATAATTTGTTTCCCTGAAGAATTAATGTTTTCCCCTACTTTCCAAACATTTAATTGAAGACAAAAGTGTTTTCCTTCCTTTCCTTCTTGTTTAGTCTCTTATCTGAGCTGTTTTCCTATTCCCTTCTTTCCTCTGTTCCATTTCATTTGTCTGTGCTGTTTTTTCTCCTCATGTCTTTAATTCACAACTCAAATATTTTCAGTAGAACTCAGACTGACTTTCAGTCTTACAAAGAAAGTAATTTTTTAAGTGGCAAAAATGAAACTTTGAAGTAAATTCTACTGTGAATCTTCCAGTTGAAGACACAAGCAGAGGTGCTTTTGAATTCAAGGCTGTGTAGAGTAGAGATTAAATAGATGGAACAGGATGAAAATGAATGGTAATGCTGGGTTGAGCCAGGCTGCTTGGCAAGCTTGTCTTTCATTTGTCCAACCTATGACATCATTTATATGAAAGTGTTAAACATCATATTTCCTTCATTATTGTTTCAGTCTTTTTACATATCTTAAAATATTTTGACTCTAGAAATTGTGCATATATGAAGTCTCTAAAACAAGTATTTTAAAACTGAAATATTTGAAGACTGCAGTGTCATTAAATATCAGTAATTCCAGATGTCAGAAATGACCAGTTGATTAAACTTATAAAGATTGTTACAGTTGCACAAATTATAAATACTAGGGCAGATGT